CTGGTCCCGTAAAAATGGTCCTTCTCTGAATGCTCTGGTTGATATCTTTTTATGGCTTTCCTTCTTTATCCTGTCATCCTCCATAATCAGATTTTACAGAAAGATTTTTTGCTATAGGACATGTGCGCTCACCAGAAAGACAGAGAGAGACAGAGAGAAAGAAAGTGAGAAATCACACCCTCTCTCTGAGGGGATGGCCACACCACAATCCCTTCTTTTCCAAACCCTTCTTGGGATTTTGGGCACGCACGCATATGTGCCCAGCGTGAGTTTTAAGCCACCGGGTCCAGGACTTGAACCATGGTTGACTATGTGGCAGTTCAGCGACGTAACCATTACACCATCCGCTGGGCCCCATAATCGGATTTTAAATGGAAGCATGAAGAATGATACCCTTACCTTCTGTGGAGAAGTGCTATGTTAGGTTTTTTTTTTTTTTCCCAAACCTGGTGTTACGGGAAGGATTTTGGATTAGGAAAAATGACAAATTCATAATATTACATAAACCCTTTACTTTTCTTTAAAAACATGATGATTCTGTTTGCCTAAGATGCTTTCATTTAAATTTATTTATTTGTTTATTTAAAAAATTTTAGGCCAGTCAGGTGGTGTGGTGCTTTAAGGTGGCTGGATCCTACATGGTTAATTGTTCAAGTCCTGCACCCAGCGGCTTAAAAAACTCACTGGGCACATGGGTGTGTATGCCCAAAATCCTAACAAGAGAACAGAGGAGAAGTGATTGTGACATGGCCATCTTCCAGGGCAGTGATTTTTTTTTGGAGAGATTTTCACTGTAGGGCGCGTGCGCTCGCCAGACAGACAGAGAGAGACATAGAGACAGAAAGCGAGAAATCACCCCCCAGGGGGGATGGTCACGCCGCAATCCCTTCTCCTCCATTCTCCTCTCGGGATCTTGGGCATGCACGCACACGCGCCCGGCGTGAGTTTTAAGCCACCGGGTCCAGGACACGAACCGCGGTCGACTACGTGGGAGTCCAGCGACATAGCCATTATGCTAACTGCTGGTTCCCCAGGGCAGTGATTTTTCTGTCTCTCTCCCTCCCTTTCTAACCCCCCACCTCCTGCCCAGGGAATGCATGTGCCCAATAGCAGGTGCATGCACACACACACACACACACACACACACTCAGGACTTCATTTCTCTGGGGCGTCTATCCTCATACACTCATACATGTCAGTAATATTTCCTTTGCTTTCAGCTGGGTCTCTCCAAGTTATCTCCCATATCTTCACCTGAGCTATTGTCCTCCAACTACCCATCCAATTCTTTCTACCCCATCACCTGCTTAGAATACATAATTGGCCTTTTCACTGCCTCTGAAAGGAATTCCACCTTCTCAGGAAGGCATTCAAGAGTCACCATAACCGGGACCAGCAGTTAGCGTAATGGCTATGTTGCTGGACTCCCACGTAGTCGACCGCGGTGCATGTCCCAGACCTGGTGGCTTAAAACTCACACCGGGCGCGTGTGCGTGCATGCCCAAGATCCCAGGAGGAGAATGGAGGAGAAAGGATTGCGGCGTGGCCATCCCCCCTGGGGGGTGATTTCTGACTTTCTGTCTCTCTGTCTGGCGAGCAGACGTGCCCTACAGCAAAAACCTCTCAAAACAAAAAAAATGAGTCATCATAACCAAGTCTCCAAACATGTGTTCACTCTGGTCTTTTCAGACCCTACACCTTGCTGATCTCCAACCCACCATTTCCAAAGGTCCACACCAACATTCCAGCTCCTACCTCTTTTCTTATTTATTTATTTTTTTTTGAAGAGGTTTTTGCTAAAGGGCGCGTGCGCTCGCCAGACAGACAGAGAAAGACAGAGAGACAGGAAGCGAGAAATCACCCCCCAGGGAGGGATGGCCACACCACAATCCCTTCTCCTCCATTTTTCCTCTCGGGATCTTGGGCACGCATGCACATGCGCCTGGCGTGAGTTTAAGCCACCGGATCCAGGACATGAACTGCAGTTGACTACGTGGGAGTCCAGCGACACAGCCATTACGCTAACTGCTGGTCCCCAGCTCCTGTGTTTTTACCTGAGCTGTTCCCTGGCTCTTTGTCAACCCCTTTTTCAGAGCGATCCTACTCTGAAAAACCCTTCCTTAATCATACTGCGCTCTGTGGATCCCTACAAATTCGTCTATTCCAGGACTTCCACATACCTTTTCATAATCGTTTTTCCTTATACTTTTTTTTTCTTCTTTTCTTTCTTTTTTCTTTTGGAGAAGTTTTTGCTATAGGGCGCGTGTGCTCGCCAGAAAGACAGAGAGAGAGAGACAGGAAGTGAGATATCACCCCCCCCAAGGGGGATGGCCACACCGCAATCCCTTCTCCTCCATTCTCCTCTCGTGATCTTGGGCACGCACGCACACGCGCCCGACGTGAGTTTAAGACACCGGGTCCGGGACGTGAACCACGGTCGACTACATTAGAGTCTAGCGACACAGCCATGACGCTAAGTGCGGTTCCTGCCTTATACTGTTTCTGCCCTTACAAACTCAACTGTATGCTTTCTCACAATGAAACAGATGTGCCTTACAAATGCATGTTCAGTGTGTAGGACTGTGCCAACGTTCAAAAATAGCTCGTAAACTAATCAATCAATCAACTCATTAATACATTCCTGATGAAGCCAACGGCTCTGTGGCGTACTATAAATGACTGTCATCAAGCTGAGGCTCTGCTTCTCAAGTCTAAATCAGGATAGAGATTTCTAGGTTGATAGCTATTCGATGTCTTCAAAAAGTTCACGGAAGATACACACTTATAAAACATGCATTTCTACATTTTTTTGCCCCACAATAAATACGTACTTGAATTCCATTTTCCCCCAGTTTTTGAAGTCCTCTCTTACATCGGTTATCTGCGTCTATGTTTGCCAGTGATTCGATGACAAAGCTATATTTATGACCAGTGCTATAATATTGGTGGGCCTTTAGTATCTATCCAATAACAGAATGTCTACAATTCTGTGTGTTTGTAAATACCTAATAATAGAAACACACACATTTATGTATATGTGGGTTTGTATTTCTTCTATTATGGCACATAAAAACACACACATACACACATACACACACACACGTACATGAAGGAACTTACAAAAACTCATGGCAAAATGGAATTAAAGTACAACTTTATGTTCATGCAAAAATAAACGGAATAAATTGAAGTCCATGCATAGCTTTTTCATACTAGGCATTCACCGTGGACTTTTTCAAGGCCTCTCCTACATCCACGGAGACATATTTCTTCTATTATTGGGTGGGAAAATACACACGTGTTATCTCATTTAGTCATCATGAAAAATTCACAAGAAAGCTACTTTTAATGTTTAGCAGATCTATTTCTTTTTTTAAAAAAAATTAATTTATGCATTCATTTATTTTAATTTGACCAGAGAGAGAGACAGAGAGAGAGAGAGAGCAGAGGAGTGAGAAAGCAAGCCACCCGGTCCAGGACTCAAACCGTGGTCGACCACGTGGGAGTGTCCAGCGCCTTAACCACCACACTGCCTGCTGGTCTCCTAGCAGACCTATTTCTTAAGAGCCACAAAACAGAACTGACTTCCTTGGTACCCATAGTCTTTCCCGTCAGCAACAACACTGCCCAAGACGCCTTTTCTCAGAAGCAGTGAGGAGTGCCCAGTGACATCATCAAATCATGTCGGCGAGCTCAGGTGCAGGGCCTCAAGGGAGAGACCATTGCGTGGATAGCCTACGTGTAGGGGGCATCATCTTTTTTCTTTGTATAACTGCATTCATGGGCCGTGGAATAAGTTGGAGAAAATCAAATTCTTCTGTGAGCCCTTCTTGTGTGTTGGGTCCCAGGTTAACTTAGGTAATCCTCCCAAGATTCTAAAGGATGACTTTTCTACGTTTCTCAGAGGCCTACACAGAGACAAAGGGTGTACATACCCACCGATGGTTAATTGCAACTCGAACCCCAGCCACCTAGTTGTACAATCTGTGTTCATGGCCTTGGCATGCTGTGCTGTTCTCTGATTTCTTCTAATTTTTTTTTTTAGAGAGGTTTTCGCTACAGGGCACGTGTGCTCGCCAGACAGACAGAGAGAGAGACATAGAGACAGAAAGTAAGAAATCACCCCCCAGGGGGGATGGCCACGCCGCAATCCCTTCTCCCACATTCTCCTCTCGGGATCTTGGGCATGCACGCACACGCGCCTGCCGGCGTGAGTTCTAAGCCACCAGGTCTGGGACGCGAACCGCGGTCGACTACGTGGGAGTCCAGCAACATAGCCATTATGCCAACTGCTGGTTCCCTGTTCTCTGATTTCTTGATAAGGAGCTTTAGGTGTTTGCCAGCTTCCTCTAACCCAACTTGACTGGGAAACACAAACGCAAAGGCCCTGCCATGGAAGAGGGTTATATAAACACTGCTGAGTGTGGACAGCCCCAGACAGGTCTGCAATCTTTTCTCCAAGACCCTGACTATCCAAGAAGAAAAGCATCCCTCCCTCTGTCTCCCAACCATCACCTGAGCCTAGCGGAAGGAAAGGAGGTTCTTACACATTTGCATTTCAATTTTGCAATGCCTCCTTCCTCTTTTCTCCTCCCCCTTCGCGATATAATCTCAATAACGCAGCCCAGGGAACAGTCACCTCGGCCTGACCACCGGGACAGCTCAAGAGCACGACCTGAAACAATTAAAGACATTTTCAAACACTGCAGGAGGGCCCAGCAAAAACCACCAAGGAAGGTTTTCCTGCACGCTCTGGAATGGTGGCCACCTGAACCCGACCCACCTGTCCCACCACCCCGGCAGGCACCTGGCATCTCTTGGTTACAGCGAGCTGGTTTGCTCTGGGATCAGCTGCTTTTTGCATGAGGTTGTAGCGGTGGAGGTGGTTTCTGTAGTGATGGGGAGGACTGCAGGGATCTATTGGCTGCTGGCTTTGTAAATTTCATTCAGTTTGGTCCAATAGCAGGCGGAGAGTTCTGGAGACAGCAAGACCTCTCTACTGAAACCCTCCTTTTCTTGCAGACTCCCCCCGCGCGCGCGCGCGCTCTCTCTCTCTCTCTCTCCCTGGTCTCTGTCTCTTAGCACAGAGCTCTTATTCAGCCCTGCTCTTACCCTTCCTGCTCAAATTGTATTGCTTTTTCATCCTGGCCACAAACCACTGACGACAGAAACAACACATTTCCTGCAAACGGCCGATTCCGGTGGCCCTGGCATTCCTTCGGATGAGACAATCCAGGCGTCTGGACTAAACACAGCCTCCTCCTGAATCATACCTGAGGTTCGGGTTCCCTGGAAAAATCTGGATGTGTTAAAAAGAACTCTGAGGGCCGATGCCGCTTTTCCGCCGCTAAGGTAGGCACAGTCTTAAAATGTCTCTGGGTTGTTACCATCATCATCCTTCTTATTTAAAGCCATTCTGAGGCCGTAGGACTGGCAGTCCTTCTCCGGCTAACGACGGGAGAAGCTTGACTGCAGACGTTTGAGCCGCGCCCGGTCTGACATGGATTTTTTTTTTTTTTTCCTTTTCTTTGGGAAATGCGAACAGGACTTTCTTCCATCTGTCGCTCCATTTCTGTGGTGTGGGTGGAAGTGCACACATACATGTTCTGCCTCTCATGGGCAAGCTTCGTGCCCGTCTCCACATTTGATTGTATTCTGACTTTCCGGGGAGAGAAAAAAAAAAAAAAAAAAAAGGAATTGCGACCAGCGTCTTTTTTTCGCAGGCATTCTGCTGCAATCAGCTATTTGCACGGGCTCGGGGGCTGTGTGTGATGTGTTTACAAAGTAGCCTTTGCCGTACATACAAATAAACAGGAGAGAGTAGCGGGGAGAGAGGGGGTAGTGTATCTGCAGTACAGGGAGAGAACAGCACACCGCCAGCTCCCTGCAAACCCGAGCTGGAGATGACGAACGCAGGACGGCTTCTGCACGCAGTGAGCAACGGGGGCTTTGCCTGGCTCTCTTCTTTCCTCCTCTTTCAGAAAGCTGGCAGCTACACACCCTAGGGCGCTTGCTTGTTTATTTATTTATTTTTCTTTCTTGTCTTTTTTTTTTTTTTCTCTCTCTCTCTCTCTCCCTTTCCTTTTTGCTTAACCAAAGAGCAAAAGGGAAGGCAGACTTCACTTGGGTCGCATTAAGCGATTGTAACTCCCTGCCTTCATTGGGGGTGCCTCACCGAACATGACGGCTGGTGTGAGGCACGGAAAAAAAAAAACGCACGTGATGGATTAGAACCTGGCTGGGGTTCGTCGGGGAGCCGGCTGGGCGCGTTGGAGACCCCGGGAGAAGAGAAAACACCATTAGTTGAGCGCTGTTTCTGCAAAGCCGGGGAGCGGGCTGCAGCTCCCCCTTTCCCGTGTGTGAGGGGGCGATGGGGCTATTTCTTGTTCCGGAGCCTTCAGGTCCGGCCTGAGCCTTTTTTTTGGGGGGGGAAGGGGTGAGTACAGGCAGCTGTCGCCCCAAGCAAGATCTCAGAACTCCCCGCTTTTCCCGAGGACCAGAAAAGTTGGGAGCTGCGGAGACTGGCAGCGGGAGCCGTGGCTGGGTCTCCGGGGACCTGGAACCCCAGTTGGTGTCCACAGAGGACCCTCCTGCTGGGCAGAGCTTGCGGGGAGCCCGGTGGAGGGATGTGGGGCGTCGGTTCCCATAGCTGGACCACCCTCTTACCCTCGGACAACACAATATCCTCACCACCACCACCCCATCCACCCCATCCCAAGGCCCTCTGCTGTCCAGAGCTTCGCATCCCATGCCCCCTCCAACCTCATAAACCACCACCCAAAACCCCAAAAAACCGCGCTCCTTCCCGGGTCCGGCTCATCCCGTGCACCCCTTCCCCCTCCTCCAATTCCCTCGCGGCGCCTTCCCCCTCCCTCTGGCCCAAGGGATGGCGAATGTCCCCCAGGCTCCGAGCCTGCAGTAAGGGAGGCCGCGGGCTTGGGCGAGGGCTGGTGAGACCCCGGGAGAGGGAGGGGGCGAGCAGACTGGAGAGCGGCCCCCTCCCCGGCTGGCCGCGGCGCCCCCTGCCCGCCCTGCACTCCCTGCCTGCACCCGCCACCCGCCACCCCCCGGCGGCTCCCTCCCCTGCCGCTCTCCGCTCTCCGGGACTGCCTGCCGCCCCTAGGGCGCACGCATCCTTCCCTCTCCTGGAAACCCCCTTGGTTGTCCCTGTCCTTCCCCAAGCCTGCTCCAGCGAGAACAGGTAGGCTCGAATCCCCAGGCTGGCTGGGGTGTCCAGGGCCCTGCGCCCTGGGATCGAGGCCCCGCGTCTGGCGCCCCGCGCAGCCCTGGGCCCGGGCGCACCATTCCGGCGCCTGGTCTCCACCAGACACAGCGCCCTTTCTTCCCAGAGCAGCGGGGGCGGGAGCTGGAGCTGGGGGGCACGCCAACCCACGCGCCCCGGAGGCCTGGCTGGGACCACCCTGGGAACTGGGAACGGATGTCAGATGTCGCGCTTGGAGGGCGAGGGGCGCGGGGAGGACGTCCTTTGCACACCCTCCCTTTGCCTCTCTCTCTTTTTTTTTTTGGCCAGGGCTTCATTCTTTTCGGTTCCATTCTGGGAGCTGGCCAGCAGGTGTGGGCCTGGTTTGATTGATTTTTGGAGCCACTGCATGCTACGGAGGGCCTGGTGGGGAGGGGACACGGGAGGTTCAGTGGAAGGCGGTGGGGGTCCAGGAGGTGGCGGCGAGGTTGGCCCCAGCGCCGGGGCTAGACGTCTTGCAGGTGGTGCCTCTGCTTTGGGTGCGCGCTTAGTGCATTCAAAAAGCCAGTGCCTGGGCGAGTCTGGGGAGAGCGAGGATGGGGACACCTGAGCTGGCATTTGCATCCAACTTTGGAAATTTGGGGTGAGGGGTGGGTGGATGGGGGGGGGGGGGGGTGGAAAAGTGGTGTTATGGGTTCGTCGCCTGCGGTTTTGGAAGGGATTCATTCATGGCGGGTAGGTGGACAGGTCAGGGGTGCCGTTCTTTTTAACCGTGTTGTCCACAATGTGGGGGTTGGGGTAGGGGAGTATAGGGAGGGGTGTGCCCCATCTTCCACCAGCCGTTTCCACTGATTGGAGGGACGCAAAGAGAAAGAAAGTTTAGGGAGACCTAGTTATCCTGACGAAGCAGAGCTGGCAGGTGGTGTCAGACGTTCTGCAGAGCACAGGGAAGGAGCCTGCGGATGACACGCTTGGCAGGCACCTGCTCTGGCTGAACGTTAATCGGCCAGGACACAGAGACCTGACTTTGATGATCCCCAGAGCTGTGTGTGCGGCGCAGAGACCTGCCTGGGTTGGATTGAGAACGCTGAGCGTTTTTTCCTCGAGGATGACAGAGCTGGGAGAGCAGACGAGATCCGCATTTTCGCGGGGGCAGCTTTTGGGAGTGGAGAATTATTTCATGCCTTCAGTTGGCTGTGGGGAAGACGTTAACAGTAAATCCTTAAATCCTCAGCATAGATTTTCCCGTGTGGATGGAGCAGAAGGTGGTGGTTGGGGGGGGCTGATGGTGGATGGGGCATCAATGACCTCTTATTTCCAGGAAAAAGAAACATGCCATTTTTATCTGCCCTAGAATAACGAACATGTGGATTGCACCGAGGTCTTTGCAAAGCGGTATTACCTCGGATGAGAAATTCAGTCTTCTATTAGCCCAGGAAATGTAGGATAAATACACATTCATATGTGTGTGTATCGTATTATGGCAGTTTTAAACCCTGCCTTCTTCCAAATGTAAAAATATCATTGGGGCCAACGGTAGCAAGTGGGAAATTATTTCATCAGGTTTAACTCACTGGATTAAAACGAGAGGTTTCATTTTGTTTTCCCCCCACTGGGAAACCAGAATGATTTTGAGCAGAGATTTCATGTTAATCGCATCTTCATCATCATGGCTGTGCTTGGGTGGTGTTTTCCAAGGTGCTTTGCACATTCTCCTTGGGTGGAACATGGGTTGCTTTTTTGGTATATATATATATAAAATAAAATAACAGCCAGTTACCAGTGGGCCCTCAAAGCAGCAGCCCAGCTAATTTTTACCCAAACCTAAGAATAGAAAGCATCTCTGGGCAGTGACAGACGGCCACAAACCGTGACGATGGCAGGTGTTCACAAGGTGGTGGCCTCCCACGTACGCAGAAGTCCACGGTGCTTGGCCTGGAACGCAGACTCACCGAAAATACGAGGAGTTTTTATTTCTGCACGTGGCCTGTTCATTTCTGCCCTTTGTAGTAATCTCTGCAAGGTGTGTGGTCCCAGGACGAAGATGGGTGTGCTCACCAACCAACGTCACATCCGACCTTGCTCTCCCGGTGTGCAAGGGCCTCTTTAACAACTCCGGGTCTCACGGAGCGAAACCTTCACGTGCGTGCATGTAGAGAAGCCGGCTTTCACATCCTGCCACTGGGATTGCTACCCGCAATCCCTTTAAACCGCTCAAAAAAAATCCCTTGAAACCGCTCTCCCACGGCGGGTGGTGGGGCAACAGCACTCCTGCTGCAACTTGTTGATGGAATTGATCATTCAGACGAAGTGACAGTCTCACAATATTTTAATGCCTCGAATTCCCTCCCGGTGAAAACAGGCTCATCTAGTTGAAACACAGCTCAATGCCAAATGTGGTGAGAGCTTCGTTCTGCAAGTCGAGTGTAAGGAACAGAATTTTCGTGCGTAAACCAGGCTGTCTCCTTCCTGCCTTTCACACTGTGTTAGATGCCCAAGGAAGAAAAACAGGTCCCGTGCAGCTTTCAATCCGTGGCAGGCCTCCCTCACCCACGATGTGGTCTTTTTCAGATCCAGGGGCATCCTCTCCTCTTTCATTATGTTAATGAATTGGGAGACAAGTCTCCTCCAGAGCAACTGCTGCTTTCTGAAACACACTGTCTCCCCCTTTTAAATCAAAGATGCGGCCCCAGCCCGGTCCATTAAAGATAGTGGGGATCGGAAGGAATTGAAGCCCACGTGGTTGAAGCAATTAGGTCATCGGTTTGGGGCTGTGGTGTTATGCACGCAACGGCTGTTTTCCAGTTTTCTCCTTTTTCTCTCAACAACCTATATGTGGCTTTTCAGAGGCCTGCTCTTCTCTGCCAAGCAAATGGTAGTATCAGAAATCCTTCCTCCTTGGGACTAGCAGTTGGGGAAATGGCTATGTTACTGAACTCCCATGAAGTCAACCACAGTTTGAGTCCCGGACCCGGTGGCTTAAACTCACGCCGGGTGTGTGTGCGTGCGTGCCCAAGATCCTGAGAGGAGAATGGAGGAGAAGGGATTGTGGTGTGGCCATCTTCCCTGGGGGATAATTTCTCACTTTCTGTCTCTCTCTGTCTTTCTGGCGAGCGCACAAAACCTCTCCAAAAAGAGGGGGGGGAAAAGA